CAGATTCTGCTTATTTCTATACAGGCTGCTGGTTCCAGATGCAATCCGACTTTGAAGGAAACACACATAAGTAGTTGACTTTGAGGACTTGCTCCTTGGGGGTGGGGGTATTAGTTCTACGAAGGGGTGGTAGCAATGAAGAAAAACAACACACCCGTTTAGTGCCATTATCAGAAATCGAATTACGTATGAAGTGGAAATACGAGGAATTGTGGAGAGAACAAACACTAAACTTCTACAAGTTCCCATCAGCAACCAAAAAAAAAAAAAAAAAACACACACACACACTCACGCACGCACACGTGTATGTGTGTGTTTGCAACAAAAAGCTCAATAGGAATTGACCCCCAAGTGGGAACTTTTCAAAACATGGAACAAAACACTACACAGGGATGCTGACTATATCACACTATTTATTCAGTGTATACAGTAAAAGAATCATGTGATGTATACAATGTATGACATCCATATCGGTTAGTGTGCATAACGTAAACATCCTGACAGTGTTGAGATCGCTAAAAATGAAACACAGCTGCAAGAAATTTTGGACTTAATTTTAACAAAGTCAAAACACCAAGGTAACTTTGGTCTTTCACACTCGTCCACCATTTGCACGAGTGCTTCACGTGAGCAAGCGCCTGCAATATAGTCTATTATTTAAAAATAATCACATGGTTTGATTTTGCTACCGCCGACTTATACCTTTAGAGTAGCTGGGTTTTCTAATATCAGTTTATGAATGTACTGAAGCCTTTAGAGTAGCTGGGTTTTCTAATATCAGTTTGTGAATGTTCTTATACCTTTAGAGTAGCTGGGTTTTCTAATATCAGTTTGTGAATGTTCTTATACCTTTAGAGTAGCTGGGTTTTCTAATATCAGTTTGTGAATGTTCTTATACCTTTAGAGTAGCTGGGTTTTCTAATATCAGTTTGTGAATGTTCTTATACCTTTAGAGTAGCTGGGTTTTCTAATATCAGTTTGTGAATGTTCTTATACCTTTAGAGTAGCTGGGTTTTCTAATATCAGTTTGTGAATGTACTGATACCTTTAGAGTAGCTGGGTTTTCTAATATCAGTTTATGAATGTACTGAAACCTTTAGAGTAGCTGGGTTTTCTAATATTAGTTTGTGAATGAATGAATGAATTAATGAAGTTTAACCCCACCCGCACCGCACAACGAGCGATAAACACCCGGTGACACAAAGTGTCACCATTGGATGAGGAGAATCACCCATGCGAAACTCCCGGACCCCCCCCCCCCTCCTTCCCCTCCTCCTCAAATATTAGGTTATAATAGGGCCCACGACAACAGCCGGAGTGGGGCTTTAAAATTATGAGACACCAACAGATAATTGCAGTTTGTAACACATCAGCTTTACAAAGTAAATAAATAGTTTGCCAAAGATTGCTATCAGAATATATGAATATGCTTACGGTTGCTATCATTTGTGACTTCCCATGTGGTTGTTCCTGCTGGTGGTTCAGCCTGACCTAACTATAAACAAGTGGTTTGGTACTGAATTAAATGCACTCTGTAACGAGAACCATGTCGACAGTCATCCACTTGTTGTTGAGGTGTACCGATATCACGCAACACAATACCGATCTTCCTTTTTGAAAGCGACAGAAGTCGAAAAATTAGAATAAGTATATTTATGAGAATTATTTTTGTCCTTTTTAGGACGACATTTTTAGTTATTTGAAGCCCCACCCTGGGTTTTGCCAGGGGCCGCAATATAGGCAGGCCATAGATATGGCCAGTTGTCTGAACGCAGTTTCTGGGACCTCTCCACGGCGATCCTCATCCACACGGTGGCACTTTGTGTCATCGGGTATTTGTCGCTTGTGTGATGTCCTGGTGGGGTAGAAAGTGAGTCAGTCAGTCAAAAATTAGAATTGCTAAATGCTAATTATCGATACTGCTAGTAATCGAATATCTAGCACCGTTGCTCTTCTTTTTGATAATATTAATTTATACAAGCCGTATGAAAGAACGACCTAACGAACAAACAATTTTTACGGCAATTTTTACGTGGCTAGGTCGGGCAGAAGATGTTATTAGGCAAATATGCAGCCTAACCGACATCATACCTGGTGCAGAATGGATACCTGTGCCTCAGGCGTTTATTTGTACATTTTCCTGTATTGTCACACTCAACAGGCGATGTAGAGAAGAGAATCCTGTTGCTGTTAATGCAGAGGTCAACGCTCTCATCGGTGAAAATTCAGACGAAGCAGATGCAATAATCTATACAGACGGATCCGTTATACGCCAAAGAAGAAGCGCATGGGCATTTACAGCACGCTCAGCGGGCAGAACAGTCAAAGAAGCCAACGGCGCCTTCTCCATGACAACCAGCAGCATGACGATGGAGGTGATGGCAGTGACACAAGCGCTTGCCTGGCTTGAAACACAAAAATACACCCGCGTGTGTATACTCAGTGATTCAATGAGTATGATCCGGAGGGTTCAGGCAGGTTCAGTGCGAAGACAATGGCTTGAATCATTACAGAAGTCCACTGTCCGTGGAGTTACCTTTATTTTTGTTCCGGGACACGCAGGCGTCGATGGAAATGAAAGAGCTGACAGGTTGGCTGGATCCGCTATCACTACCGACGGTCAGCCTATGGATCATGCTGATATTATCAATGCCCTCAGAGAAATGGGAAGGATAGACGACTTTGGTGGCAGTGAATCCACATCACTCGCTAGAATGGCAGACTTGGGAATAAAGATCGGCACAGCAAAAAACGAGACGCACACCAGTTACGCCAGAAGACTTGTTAATCAACATAGAACTGGTACTATTAGCCATCGGACGTTGGGGTTCATACTGAGGGGAGGATCTGAGCACCTATGGACATGTCCGGAGTGCAATGAGGATAACCCAACTAACTAACTAACTAACGAACTAACAATTTTTACGGGGTTAAGAAGTATAAACGGTAGCACAGCCGCCCTACTGTGCTATCTGTGTTTAGTTTGATCATTCTTGAGCCCTCTTGCTTAAGTGATTGTGTGTGTGTGTGTGTGTGTGTGTGTGTGATAGAAAGAGGAAAAAGGAGGCGGGGGGGGGGGGGCGTGATTGTACTAGCATTTATTGGCACCTTTCCATGTTTCCGGACGATAACACTGTCTTATAGGTGTGTGTGAGAATCGCAGCTCACGGCGATGTATCTCTATCTTTGGAACAGGAACATGTGTGTAAGCCTTGTTATATCGATCCTGCAACACCACCTATTCAAACAGGACCCACCTCACTCGTCGATATGTTAGCAGACAGGACTTCCTTTTGACAGGACATGTGTGTGTCTAAATCTCACTAACCCGCGCTACTAGTCGTCATGTGGTTAAGGTATACGTGGCCCACAATATCCACTATTTCAGAGTTTTCCTTAGCCTTGTCTTGTGAGTCACGCAGAAAACATCCTCAGTTCTGGCTATTACATCTGTTCAACATGTTCGATCAGTGTCTGTGGCCGAAGGGTTATCCACGCAGTCTCAGATTTCCGACATACCATCGTTCTAGGTCACATGTCTGGCAGTTCGGCAGCAGATCGATTTGTCTTCATTTCGACAGTGGTGTGGACCGTTAAATAGCAATAGCAAAGTGTTGAACGGGACGTCTACTTGAAAGCTACAAAAAATAATCTTCGGGTCATGTTGCTATAATTATAAAAGTATAGGCATCTAATTTTAAGTATATTTATGGTGATAAGTAAGGCGGCTAGAGGCATGTAGTATTACGTGTGTAATACTTGTTACATCTATAAATGTGAACTAGAAAACTATCTAGTCTGATCTGTTTCCATATCTACGCTAACTGTGTGAGAAATTTACACAAGAGTTTTTTACAACGTTTACATTAAACGTCACATACATGCACGCAAACGTCACAACCATGCACGCACACGTCACATAGATGCACACACACGTCACATAGATGCACGCACACGTCACATACATGCACGCACACGTCACATACATGCACGCACACGTCACATACATGCACGCACATGTCACATACATGCACGCATGCATACATGTCACGTACATAGATGTACGCAAACGTCACATAGATGTACGCAAACGCCACATACATGCACGCATACGTCACATACATGCACGCACACGTCACATACATGCACGCACACGTTACATACATGCACGCACACGTCACATACATGTACGCACAATCATATCTCCCCATGTTAATTTTTATATTGACATATCACAAGTGTGTATAATCATAGCTTATCCCGTTAGCATATTTAAACATCTGGAGTATATCTCAGGATGTTTACATTATATGTCACATTTGAGACTAACGTGTGCACATTTTCTATCCACAGGATTGTGTTCTTCGCCTCTTCTACTCGTTCTTTGAGATCCCACCTAAAGTGAGAAAAGTGGAGACAGTGACACACGTAACTGAGAAGATTTCAAAAAACAAACTTATGGACAAAAGTGAAGAGAAGTCAGATAAACGTGAAGATGACAAGAAATCCAAGAACAAAAGAGAGAGATCCAAGGAAAAGAAGCAAAGCAAGTTATCAGGAAAAAGGAAAGTCTGTGCGGAAGGATCTGCTTTGGTTGCAGACAGTGCTGTGATTTTGGGACACAGTCCTTGTGCTGAAACTGTTGAACCTGGATCTATGAAGTCTCTTGGCATAGAGGTAGTTGCTGCTGCATCTACTGTACACACAGCAGACGATGTGAAACCTGTTGATACAAGTTCTAAAGCCACCAGAAACAATATCACCAGTTTATCTGTTGTAAAATGCTCAAAGAAGGATCACACCACCTTTCAGTCACCGACAAAACAAAAGCCACCACCCGAAAGTCCACCCTTTTCCATAACCACTCATTCAGCTAATAAAGATAACAGCAAGGTCTCTAAAGGTCACAAATCCAAGACCTCTATAAAACTGCTAATAAAGTCCTCAGATATCAAGGTCTGCAAAAGTCCTGACAGGCAGTTCCTTGGATCCACAGTGGATGTGAAGTATGAGAACAATGACATGCCTACAAAGGTCAAGATTAGGAAATATCAGAATGGTGAAAGCGCATCCATCTCACAATCTAATTTATTTGAAAAGATGAGCACACTAGCCAACTCATCAGAAATGGAGCTCAAAGATCACACTCTTATCTCAAAGTCTTTTTCTAGTCATGATCAGAACAAAGTCTACAGTAATAGCAAGACACCAAGAGATGATGAATTTCTTAAGCGTGAAGCTAAAGCTAAGGTTAACATTGCCACGGTGAATGCAGCATCCCAGCAAGAGGAGCTGGTTGATAAGAAAAGAACGGACAGTAAACTAACGGGAAAGGTTGTAGTCAAAGAAGATGTAGAGGCTTTGAATAGAATTGTGAACAACCTAGAGGATACGAAGCTGGAGAAATGTAACAGCGGCCTGCAGAACAAAGTGGACTTTGGTGTTGGAGGTAAAGATGGTGCGACTAATATACAAGCAAATAAACAAGAAACTAAAGTAATCACTAAAACTGCAAGCCAAAGTAAGTCTGATTGTAAGACACATATACACTCAGGGAAATCATCTGGGTCTCAGAGTACAACTTTCAGTGAGGACAAAAAAGCAGCCCACAACATGCAGCAGAATGCACATGATGTTAGTAGAACTCAAGATAGCAACCAGAACGATATCAAGCTTGGACATGAACATGGAAATGACATGGATAATTTAAAAGAAAATGGCATGAAATCACCAAATTGTGATAGCAAGTTGCTCATTGTTAAAACTGAGCCGAGCATTACTACAGAAGATGTCCACAATAGGAGGAAACTTTGTGAAAGTGTTAATCAAACAAGAACTCAACAGAGCATGAGTGAGGCCAAACAAGTCTCTGTTCCTCCTGAGAAAAACATTGCCAGAAGAGCCTTAGAGGACAGTAATAAGCACAATGGCAAACAAAACAGAGATGATAGTATCAGGGCAGATTCTGAGCCTAGAGGCCTCTTAGATACCAACTTGGCAGTTTTACCAAAGGCTAACCCTGCTGTTTCAGACACATCCACTGCGTTACCGAAGATACACAATGGCTTGACCAAAGCACCTGAAATCATTAGAGTTCAGAGCCCTGTTAAAATGATGCAGGTGCAAGAACTTTCTAAGACTGTCAGGGACACAGAAGGTAGGGAACCACTGTGCAGTTCTAATAAAAAGGCTTTGATTGAGCGAGGTTCTGTGTCTTTACAATCAGACGATAAACAACAGACTTCAAGTCCATGTTCTGATAAACTGGTGGATGTATCAAAGCCAGTGACATTGGAAATCACTTCAGTAGGGAGTTCAGTTACTCCTAAGATCGGAGTCATTTTATGTGAAGTGAGCTCTGCTGAAACTAATACTTCATCACAACCAGCCTTTGTCTCCGGGGTATTGACTACAACCACCTCATCTTCTCCATTGTCTGCACCACCCAAACTTCTGAAAACGATGGTTATCAGTACAGCAGGTACAGCTAGTTACCCGCTGACAGCTTACTCTATTGCCTCAATAGTATCTGTGCCTGTGTTTAAGCCTGGCAGCATTCCATCCTCTTCTTTCACTGCAGTCTCACAGGCACTTTTAACACCATCACCTGCAGCAACCACTAATGCAGCACCAAAGTTGTCTGAAGTTGTCACAACCACAGTGCCACACAAAGCAGCATTACCTGTGGTCTGCACAACAACACTCACCAAAACCTCGTTATCGGCACCAGTTACTTCTTCAGTGTCAGCCACCATGTCTGCCTCAACTGTAGGTTCAGGGGCGCCAGATTCTACTTCTTCTCCAGCATCAGAAAGAAGTTCTGAATCAGGTTCACCATCACCACTTTACCGTGGTAACCAGCCTGGGTCTGCTTATTTTGGTCTGCACACCTCCACTAAAACAACAGCATCAGTTTGTGTTCCGTCAGCAGCATCACGGGGTAGTGTAACAAATCCGACCGCTACTCCTAGTTTAGTCCTGCCTGTAACAGTGTCTCCCACAACCTCCAGCTTATCTTCCACACCAGTGGTCACAACCCAAGCCTTAACTGTGACATCATCTGCCACCAGCACCTGGTGCACAGAGACAACTGTTAACGTGGCCAACACGTTTCTCAACATACCACCTAAAGAATCAGCCGCCTTGAAGAATACACAAACAAAGAGCAATTCCAGAGTCTCCAATGTTTCTGCTTCCAGTATGACACTTCAGAAAGACGCTATTAATCTGGACAATTTCTTGTTTGATACAAAACCTTCAGAGACAGAATCCCTGACAGCACTGAGCGGCCATAGAATGAAGGATACGTGTACTATTTCCAAACAAATTCATAAGGGCCCACTGAGAACCAAGTCCAATTCATCTGCACAAGCTCATGGGCTGGTGAATAGTAGAGCTGTGACAAGTGCAGAACCCCATATCACTGCCGTTCACCAGCTGCCCAAAACTGTTTCACATACCTCAAAACCATATTCAGTAGGAAAGTCCTTAAGTGTCTCATCCACTTCATCAGCAAAATGCAACAGCGTTATTCAAACTACAAAAATAAGCACGCTCATCCCAAAGTCTACTTCAGTCACTTCCAAGGCTGGAGCATTCTCAAAGTCATTCTCATACCCGTCGACTCTGAATAGTGTTCCTTCGTCCAGGAGTTTCTTGCATACATCATTGCCGCCTCACATGCCAAGACCAGACTTGTCTGCAGTCATCAATGGAAGCTCTGCTTACGAGCAAGCACTGTTGACCAAGGCATCTGGATTGTCATCCTCATCCTCATCAGTGCACATGACATCAGCAGCCTCATCGTCATCATCTCATCACAGAACATCCTCCAAACACATTTCTAAAGATGCGGATGGCAAGATGGAAAAAACCCAGAAAAACAAAGCTGTCCCTCCACTGACCATCCCAAAGTCATGCTTGACAACTCTGAAACTTCAGAGGTCGCCGGGTTCTACGGATCACTACATCTTTGCCCCTCTCACCCACTACACAGCAGCTGGTCATCATAATGGGGAACGGTCAAAGTCAAAGGAAGTCAAATATAATGGATCCCGAACACCTACCTCTCCCCCTACCCCAACAAGGGATAGTGTGTTTATAGGGGAGAGGCAGCGAGTGCCGACTATTAAAATCTCGGATATTAATAGAAATCCCATTATTGTTGAAAGTGGTGGGAGTAACCTTGCAAACACCAACCGACACCACTCGCAATTTAGATCGTACAACCATGGAAGTTCCAGGTCGTCCAGCTCTGACAGCGGATCTGCTCGAGCTCACAGCAGAGCCGGAAGTGATTCCAACTCGCCCACCGGAAGCAGCGACCGGTCAGACAGGTCTCCCGCAAGAGATGCCAGACGACCTTCAGACTCCGAACTTTTACTGAGCCAGCACTGGCATAGTTATACTGCAGCAGACTTGCTCTTCAACGGGTTCAAGCTGCCCTCGCATCCTAAATTCCATGAACTCCACTATGACACAGATGCGATGCCCCTGGATTACTCCCAGTCCTCGTCGAAATCCTAGTGACATCTCTACTTGCTGTGCAGGCTAAATCATCCAACAAAAGGGAGTCGTCTGGTTCGTATGGCGTCTGCATACGATCATGTCCCCCATCACAGAGCCGGTGGTGTTTTTATATTGACCCACATTTATGGATGGAACTATTTTCGGCGTGTGCTAGAAAACAAATCGGATTACTAATGTGGTGTTGTGAAGTTCGTTGTGGCAGAAGGTGACAAAAAGTCCCAGAACGAGTACCAGAGCGAACAAATGGCTACACAACTACACATGATGTGTGTGCTTCTCTATTGCTTTCACCTGGATTACTGCGACTGGATGTTGGCTGGTATTTGGCAAATTATACAATAAAACTTAGGTCCAAAAACTTAACTGTACTTTGGTCTAAATTTCCATCGTATCAGTTTATGGACACCCATGCTGTTGTAACGGTGAGCTACAGCCCGATCAGCGGGTACTTAAGTGAATTTGTGATAGATAGTATTACATAAGTATAGACAGTGTTAAGGTATTTGACGCTATCTTTAATATTTCTCTGTGTGTGTGTCTTTCATTGTTTCTTGTTCTAATTCTTATTTATTCATTGTTTTTATTTACTTGTTTGAAAACCCTTGGTTTCAGCTTCCAGCAACACTGCCTTGTTGATGTTAATGACAATATTATCGATGACTAGCTTATATGATCTACAATACTGCCTGTTTGGTTATCTCAGTTTAATGTTGTGACCATTAAGTGGACCCAGCAGTTAATGGGTTTTATATGTCATTTGCAACTTTGTTAAATGCTGTTTTCAAACTGTTGCACTTTATGCATGTTTTCAGAAGCAAGACACAGCTTTTTTCATGATTTCATTCGTTTGTAACTTTGACCATTGATTTGGTTGTCAAGTTTTTTAATTGGGCAAACGTTTTAATATCTACTCTTTTCCGCCTGTGCATTTTCCTACCACTAGTTAACCTGTCTTGACTTTGGAATGAAGTTGTATTCTGTGCTGTACACCTGCCTAGCCACTGACGACGTTAAAAGACACTGGTCACTTCGTACAGTGTCCATTCCTTTTCTGAGTAAAGCTTGAAACTTTGCCATTGGAAAACTTTGGCCAGTGTATCCTTAAGCAGCTGGCTGAACGGATAAGAAGGTTGGGCTCTAATGAGGGAGACCCAGGTTCGAATCCTCGGTAGGGTTGTGGATTTATTCTCTCGGAGGCAAAAACAAAATCCCCAGCTGTACAGTCCGGGCGACTGCTGTATCCGTGCGACCCTAAATACTCAGGGTCACAGACATTCCTGCCTACACAGCAGGAATATATATATATATATATATATATATATATATATATAACAGACACACACACATGCCGACACTAATACTTGGATACATATTAATGTGCTGACACAAACACGTGCACTCATAAGCTGACATTGAGACACGGATATTGACGCTCAGACTTAGAAGTGGATACACAGATTCATACTATGATACTGATATATATATGTCGATACCTTAGCTTGAGTGTATGTATTCATGTCCTAGTTTCAGCGCGCAAGCAAGTCAGTAAACCCATACTTTAGTTTCAGCGTGTGCGTGTGTTTGTACCCCTTTGCGGACTCTCAAATCGCCAGCCACTGCCATAATATTACCATATATTTAAATAATATTTATCATTCCAAACCTGGCTGCAGTTATCTGGCAGATTCCGTTGCTGTTTCGCCATGCCTGAATTTGTTTTTAGAGCATGCTGCTCTGGGGAAATACAGAATATTGCTGTAAATGGTATTTATTTAACACGAACGATTTTTTGGTTTTTATAACTAATCAGGAGCGACGATTCTAACAAGATGTGAAATCGATTTAGTGCACTACTTAATATTTGCAATTCAGTGTCTATGTGTGGTTGTCCTGGCAACATAAACGACCCTTTGACAATTCAGTGTCTGTGTGTGGTTGTCCTGGCAAAATAAACGACCCTTTGACCCTGACGCCTTCAGACGTACTGGGTATATATGGCTAGACTGAAATTTTAAAGACCAGTCGACACTAGGTAGGTGATGTGATCGAAATCACACCGGGCGCCTTTACTTTCCAGGATTTTACCTTATACCAGTTAACTGCTGGGTCGACCTGAGAACCGAGGTCATTTCTGGAAAAAGTCAGGCTCCGTCAGTAGGCCCTGGCAAAGGTACGTGGTTTTTTAAACGACTTATTTCAAATGTTAGCATCTCGAATTGCTGCCTAATTGGTCCTGTCTGTTATTTTAGATGTTTCAAATGTCCAGTGACCGAGTTAATTTATTAGATCCATTAAGGATCTTTGTTAGACTCTCAGGTTGCACTTCCAGGGGATAAATTTGCCGAGTTTAGTAGATGGTGAGTCAGAAATATGACTACCTGTTTAAATGCATATGTTTAATAACCTTGCTGTATTGTGGCTACGGAAATGAAACCATTGGAAACGAATTCTTTCAGGTTAACAAAACATAACAATACCGAGTCCCTACATGTTGGCCCTTCACATCACAGCACAATCGACAGTATTGTGGAAAGTCACTCCTGGCAATCTAATATATGCCTACTGAAACGTGTAGCCGTATTTCTGACTCAGCTTCTGTTAAACCATAAAATATTCCAAGCCTGCACAGTTACGTGGTTACTGCGGTGGTTTGTGCTTCAACTTTTGCTCATTAGGATTGGCCTAAACTTGTGGGAATGTCTGACTGGTAAGTAATGGACATTTTCCAAGCGAGGTTAAAATACATTGAACAGAAATGTATTGAACAAGCATCAAAAGAAAACGGTAGACATGTACCGAGAAGTCAGAGATGACAGCTGACAACCCTTCTTAAAATATGCTGCCTTCTGTTGCTGACGACGTGGCTCTATACAAGCGCTGCAGTTCGAATCAGCCTAGTGATTTCCCAAGCGATGTGTCATCTCTTGGTTTATTCGAACTGCAGCGGTTGTATAAAGCCACGTCATCGGCAACAGAAAGCAGCATATTTTAAGATGGGTTGAAAGTCCTTGAAGTGTTTTTAAATATTATTTCTTTTCTATTATGATGAGATTTTATTTTAAACTGAACTGAACTGAATTTCTACCCCACCAGGACATCACACAAGCGATAAACACCCGATGACACAAAGTGCCACCATGTGGATGAGGATCGCCGTGGAGAGGTCCCAGAAACCGCGTTCAGAAATTTGGCCATATATATGGCCTGCCTATATTGCGGCCCCTGGCAAAAGCCAGAGTAGGGCTTCAAATGACAAAAAATTTCGTCCTAAAAAGGACGAAATTGGATATAATAACTGAATTATATTTATTTTTTATTTTAAACTAGGACAGAACCCATTTATGTTGTATCGGGTCATGAGGCGTCTTCTGACATTCCTGAATAATGTCCCCACACGTTTCACGGAATGTCTGTACCAGACATAAACTAATTGTTACAGACAGAGAGGGAAAACAACTATTTCTTGATCAATTTGTTGTTTTAAGAAAGTTACAACAGTAGTGATAGAAGAATAACAGACGCCAGAATTGTCCCGAATAGTTCTGCTGAGACGTCATCTAGACCAGCAGCTTTCCTTTTTCATCCTTTTTGGATTGTCATATATTTTCTCATTTCTTCTTTACGTGGTTTCTCGCAGTTGGTATCTAATACAACTTCTGCGGGCTGGATATCTTGAGTGTCTTCTGGGACTGGTCTATTCAGAAGTCCTAAGAAAAAATAATAATAAAGGAAATGGCGGTTTGGCGCGATTGTAGTAAGAATATCCACATGGGATTTCTCCCATTATTGGCGTATGTAGACTGTTTGACAGAAATCAACAGGAGGGTGGCCATAGCAATACGCAGATTAAACAGAATTAAAAGTCTCTGGTTAAGTACCAGCAGGTAAATTACAATTTTGAGAGCATGCATCTTTTCTTTAGCAACATACGGAAGGAATTAAGTCATGGACTATCTCACAGTCCTCAAATGAAGAAAATAGGCGCTTTTGAGCTGAATAGCAATATAAAGATTCTCAGAGTACCATGCAGAAGGAAGAGAAGAAATATTGACATTTTAAACTATCTGAACATCAAGGAAGATTTTCTAATAAGCAGTATCTAGTCTTGGTAGCTGCAACATTGTTATCATATCATGCAACATTAGGATTGAAAAAAAAATAATAATAGCAGAAGGCGTGGTACCAGGAAGAAGGGACAGAGGCCGACCAACGCGAAGATGGGCATGAGACATATGTAACTCTTTGAATATGAAAGTGCACAAGGCAGGAGAGCTGGCAGGAAACCGTTTTTTTTTTTTTTTTTGGCAGACCGTGATAAGCGCCACGTTCTGCAAAGGACCTGCTACATGATGATTGGCATATTTAAGTAAATAAAACCGTCGCAAAGTAGCTGTGCTGTTGTGTACAGTATTTCCGATTATGATATTTTTAATGTATTAATTTATCTATTTAGTTATTTATATGTAAAGACACCGGCTTCGTCCAGTGAGAGCAGAATATTATGAGCAGTAAAGTGTCAATAAACTCACAGTAATCACACTTTGCAATGATTTTCCGTGTCAAGGACTACTGAAGTAGTCTTTTTTTTTTAACGTCACTTTCATAAGCCCCATGCATCACACTCATTAGCTCAAGCTTTTTATTCATTTGATCACACATCACATTCATTAGGTCACATATCATATTCATTAGGTCACACATCACATTATTAGGTCACACATCACATTATTAGGTCACACATCACATTCATTAGGTCACACATCACATTCATTTGATCACACATCACATTCATTAGGTCACATATCACATTCATTAGGTCACATATCACATTATTGGGTCACACATCACAATTCATTAGGTCACACATCACACACAAGTCCACACAAAACTGTCATAAGCACTGGTAAAATGGCCAAAGCTTGTTTGTTTTTTATGTTTAAATCACGCATTTCCTGGTTCTCTAGATATTACATTCGAGGTTGAAGTGATATGTGATG